ATACAGTCGTGGTCGTTGGGATAGCAGTAGAAGTGGTCAGGCCGAGTTGACTGCCATATCGACCGAGTCGCAAGCATCTGCCGTGCAAGAAACTTCGGTAAATTTTTCATGTTTGTGTTATTGCATATAAAAATACATGTTTTGGGATTTTTTAGCTAAAAATTTTTAACTTAATGGGTGGCTGAGAGATGCGGTACCTCGGCTTACGCTCATTTTTTCCCATCTTTAAATCTTCCTAAAACAGAGCTTTTCAGCTTCTCAGTATTTATCATTTTTTTTTTCCAATTAAAATAAATAGCGGCACGCATCAGGGTAATCAGTGCGATCATGCGTTTTGCACAGTTCCGTCTAGCAGACGTTTGCTGTTAAAAATTTTCACTGCTTTACTCTTTGATGTGCGCAGAAATAGTCGATACGTTGTCTGGTTTCTAAGCTGCGAAATTTCCCACTAAAAAATTTCACTGTTACTTGAAATGCAAGCTTGTGTGGAAGCTGAATTTAGAACTCTTGGGTCGCACATAAGCTGGGAAAACCCTTACAAAATTTCAGCTTTCTAGTTTTCCGGGTTCCGAGTTAGTGATTTTTGCGCCAAAACTTTCACATTGCCGCACGTAAGACCTGGGTATAAATCGAAGCGAAGTTTGAGTTTTGAGATTCCTACATAAGCAGAAAACATATGAGTTGTTAACAATTTTTGCAAGTAAACTTTTGAGGGGCTGAACCGAAGCCCGTTGCTTTTCCATTGACACACACACACATTTAGAAGCTGACTATTGAGTAACTACTTTTTATCGGCCTAATTTAGGATTTTCCTAATTTAGGAGAGTGTGATGAGTGATGAGGAGCAGGAATGGCACGATGCATGCGATAGCACCTCCCAAATGAACATCATCTACCAAGAGGCAAGTCATATTACTACTCCACTTAATGAAGATTTCCCCGTCCCTCCCCCTCCCCGCCCTTCCCTCGCCCCTCCCCCTTCCCCGCCCCTCCCCCTGCCATCCCCCCTTCCCCTCTCTCCCCTCCATCATCGCTGTTCGTTTGGCCCCCAAATGTTCCCCGTGAAATGAAAAATTGCTTGGCTAAACTTCTTTTCTATTTCGCATGATTCAGTGATTATCAGCTGCGCCCCGAGAACGATGCATTGGGCAGCAGATGGAGCTTTTTTGATTTGGCCAAGGAAGCTGAGAATTTTATTAATTCCCCCTTCTTACTTGCATTTTACGGCTTTGCTGGCCTGCGCGGCGTATTTGTGTTTGCAACACTTCTGAGGGCAAATTTTTTCTGTTATATAATTATGCACTGATGTGCTGCAAGTTTGCACAGGGAATTACCGCTGCCTTCCTTATTTCCGTTTTTTTTTTTGAATTTACATATTTTTCCTTACTTTTCCGTATTTTTTTGGATTTACATATTTTAGTTACATATTTTTAGAATGTAGCAAGAAAAGGTGCTCCGAAATCGCCGTCGTCTTTGTCCCAGCGAATGATCGTAAGTGCTCAAGAGTTAGACATCGGAGAATCTCCTCCGAAAGAAGTCTCACTACCCGGTTCGCATCCTCTTGCCGAAGAAATCAACCGAATTGCAGCGGAGCAGTTGAAGTATGCACAAGCCGGAGTGCACGATCACGTTAGTTGATATTGGAATTATCATGATAAAGAATGAATAATTATTATCCTGAGAATAACGATTGTTATATCTCGTTTAGTTTTGATCACTACCTACCTGCCCCGCATATTGCATACTATCATGGTTTTTAATAGTCCCATAATTTAATTTTAATTAATAATTTGATTATAACCGTATCGCCTTTTTTCCCCCAATAATTGTTGCAGTTAGCAAAATTCGTAAAAGAGTACCTCCTGCAGGTTGCAGCTCATATCATAATTTCCCACCCCTCCCATTCAATATCTCACATACACAACTATAATTTTTGGTACACAACTTCACATACACAATCTCACATACACAACTTCATCAACAATTTCACTTAATTAAATTCTAACAAGCTTCATTTCATTTCATTCCTCTAAAGATTGGGCGAGGGAGGTATAGTTGTCGCAAAACTACACGTTCACAATCATAGATGAGCAAATATCGTCCGGGTTTTGTGGTTGGGTCCAGTTTGTATGTGATTTTGGCTATAAGAAACCTCGGAACCAACAAGTTCTGGCACATAATTCATGAATGCTTACTTGTATCTCAAAGCCTAAGATCATGAGTGTTTGCACCCTAAATTAGGCCCGGGCTTTTCGATTTGCAGTAGAAAGGATGCAGAAAGAGGGTGAGATACGAATCTTGCATCTGTTTCATTTATAACTCCCAGCCCGCTTTAGGAAATCTGGTGAAGAAGGGGCATAATATGGAATTTATTGTTTTGCGTTTCTTTGAAGCACCAAATTTCTTTGTGACTGGAAATGATTTAGGACTAAAGGAGCGGAGATGCTGTAGCTTATGCTGTAGAAGATGCTGTTGGTTTATGGTTAGCAAATTAAGAAAAGTGGAAACCTCAGGAACAGTTTCAATAGTAGTACCGCCCTTACTGGTCTTTACCCTTCACTGAATTGGCCGTTGTTCCTGTCCATGAGCTCTTTAGCCATTGCTTATTGGGGCCGTTACAGCCCGTACTGCCTTCTACTTCTGTAGCTTCTGGCAAGTGTAGCTTTGGAAAAAGTTTGTGTTTATCGGAGAAGCTGAAAATGTTAAATTGTAAGGGGGGAAAAAGATGCCGTTTTTTATTGGTTTTCGAAAAAAGAGTCGAGAGAGAGAGTACTTTCCAGGTATGGGAATTGTTCACAGAAGAGGGCGAAATGAAAATGTACAAGAGAGAATTGCAAGTCGATGGTATCATTTGTGATCCTTTGAAAGCAGTTCATTGCGTTGAGGTTTGTAGTTTGCTCGAAATTTTTAGCGATTTGAAATGTCCTGGCCATCTTCTAGCCGCGCACTAATCAATCAAGATATTAGTTCACATTAGTTTATATTGAAGGATAAGGTAGAAGATGATGAAATAGAAAAATAATTGGCCAACGCAGGGGTTGCCCATGCGAAGATGCGTTTTTTGCATAGTTCTCCGCAGTTTTTGTCGCTACCGGCACCGGTTTTTTTCGGCAAATGCTTCTAGATAAACAATTTAAGACAGACCGCCTAAATTGTCAGGAAACACCCCCTTAAAATATCAGCTTTCTAGCTTCCGTGGCCCCTGAGTTAGCAACGTACTGGAAAAAACTTTCATGGGTCAGCACGCGGGTACCACGCTTACCCGGGGGATGGGTTTGAGCCCATTAATACCTACTTGGACGGGGAACATTCCCTTAAAATTTCAGCCCCCAAGCAACTCTGGTTCCCGAGTTAGCGGCTTACCCGTAAAAAACTTTGGCGGGCTTTTACGTGGGTACCACGCGGGTAAGACCCCCATTTCGGAGATGAGAGCTCGTACACGCATATGGATTAAGCCCCCCAAGTTGCAGCCCCGTAGCTTTTGTGGGTCTCGAGTTGAAAAATCGGTACAGACGCGCAGCGCGCACACACACACACACAGACACACACACAGAGAAAACCTCTCGTCAGTATGCGTTTTCCACATTGCATAGCTGCAAAAAACACATAAAAATGAAGAAGGAAAGAAAATCGAAGTGAAAAAAAAGGAATGGGAGTATTGAAGTATTTGTAATAGGTAGGAAATGTTTCGATCCAAATTAAGTCGTATACATTTAGGCGTGCGAGAAAAGCAGTTTTTATTTTAGGGAGTTACAGCACGTGAATACATTCATTATTTCTTCGAACCACGATATAAACACGAATGGGATG